AAGTGAAAATAAAATAAACAATAAAAGGTGAATCAAATGGACCATTATGGCAAGGCTGGGATGGTCAATTTTGTAAAGTAAATCCGTTGGGCATCTTTCTTTGCCTTTAGACAATAATTCTGATGGCAAAAGAGCCAAACGGGACAGGCAAAAGAAAAAAAAGAAAAAAAAAGAAAAGAAAAAGTATGTTGTTTGTACCATTCAGCATAAATGATTTCCTGGCAATATTATGGTTGATTTTTCTCCAAGAATATCAATTTCTGGTTAAGTTTCATGTTTTAAAGACAGACAAAATTTCACAAACTTCTTATGTAACTGAAAATATTTGTTAAAGACAAATAATTAATAATTGGCAAGCTATATTTATTGTACCTCTAAGGCTGTGAAACTGGAGCTTCGTTCACACAGATGGTCGTTACACTTCAGCAAGCGTCTGAGCCCTTCAGCAATGACTCGAACTGCTATATAGATACCATAAGATTCATCCTGGTCGATGTAAGAAGCCAGATATTGGTTTCTTTCTTCTTCAGACTTATTTAAAGAAAGTAGATGCTGCGTCTGGTAATCTCTAAGAATTGTGTTATTAGTTCCATTAAACATCGACATGACATGGTCTTTAAATCCAGGCACCTCTTTCTGCTTATATATGAACCCAAAAACTTCTCCTGCCAGTTTGATGTCTGACATTGCAGAGATCTTTGGAGAGCTGGACCATGCATCACTTGCAATCCACGTTCTGTTGACTCTGTGTTCAATAGCTGCTTCCAGGATGATTTCTGCATTAGTGTCCTTTGTGAAGATGATGATGGCCTCAGCAGAAGAGTTTTGAATTTTTTCCAGTAGTTCATTCAGCTCAGTTTGGTCCATGCTATTATTGTTTGTCGTAAAATCAGCGGACAAGATGTGAACACATTCAATGCAGATGCTCTTTTTGTTGAAGTTGTCTTGAAGGCTATCACTGCCATATTTCCCATACTCATCATCACTTCCCACAATAATCACTGTTTTCCAATGGAATATCTTCACCAGCTCAATAATACCTCTTGTCTGATATTTGTCACTAGGCACGGTTCGCAGAAAAGTGGGAAACTTGAACTTGCTGCTCAGCAGCTCACTTGTGGATGCATAACTAATCTGTTAAACAGACATAGAGCATATATGAAAACAGTTCATTAAAGATTTTTCAACACATAAGCATGGAAATCTAAAGACAGATTATGTATTTGCTGATATTATTGATTTTCATCAAATTTAGATTCTTATATTTCTAACTGAGCTTTGTAGGACAGAAAAAGAGAAAACAAACCTGGGCAACTGAAGACAGAGCAACAAGTCGTGCAACAGCTATTGATACTTCTGAGTACCTTTCCCCGATCACCACCTTGGTTTTGGGTTCAAGTAACTTGAACTGAGCATCTGCTGACACTAAACAGCTTTCTGGGTCTGACTGATTCTTCAGCAGCTGGAGAGTTGCTCTCAAGGCGAGGCCGACATCTCCACAAGTGTCATAGATGTCGTATCCTATCGTGATGTTAGGTAGGTTGATTTTGTTGATGGCGTATATCATCACTTGACTGTGCAGGAATGTTTTTAAACCATAGCTGCAAGATTGACAGAAGACAGATTAAATTCACAAATCATCTATTTGACACTAATGAGCTGATGTACTGTACTTACTCACTACAGGAGAGAGGTGCAGAAGTGTTAGTCCTATTAGTTTTTAAATGAATGGGGAAAAGTCCACCAATGATGATATTCCCAGGAGAGTATGCACGGAGAAAACTATTCTGTCCTAAAGAGGAGTGAAACACACTCATGACAAATAACCACATTAAAAACATCATGGATACGCACAGGTAGAACATTTACATGTGTCTATCTTCTCTTTTCAGTATGACCAGGTTCCTGTACAGCAGCTATATAAAAAACTTCTACTCGTTTATCATTTGCATCATCAGATTGTTTCTGTAACGCAATC